AGGGTGGCTCCCCACACCTGCCCACTCTCCTGCCCAACCCAGCTCCTCCTCCCTGGGGCTCGGAGTTTCTGGCTACACTGGAATTTGCAGAGGCTGCCCCTGTCTCTGGAGCCTGGCCGCATCTCTCTTGGTGACCCATGTTGGTGGGGCAGTGCATCCAAGACCCTGGCCTCAGGATAGGGACAGAGATGGGTCCCATGCGTGACAAGTATGAGGCCTCCAACTTCGGTGATTCCCTCCTGTCCTCCACCTTGGTAGGGAGGAGGGGATTCGTCTGCACCTGGGGTCTGGGCTTCTGAGCCAGGTTTAGGGGCTGGGGTGGGAAGTGATTCAAGAGTTTTCAAGGACAGAGTAGGGTGTGGGCCCCAGACTTGCTCTCAGTGTGACCTCACCAGGTGTCCCCCACCCCAAATCCACACCATGCCTGGCTCTACTTGGGTGTCCTTTCTCTGAGCCCACAGTGGGTGCAGGAGAGGAGGGGCCTGGGCTGAGTGGGCCGGGGAGAAAGGATAATGGGGGTGGGGATAAAAGGATCACTGAAACAGAAGGATGGGGCTCAAGGCAGGAGGGTGGGGGTCAGAGCCTGAACTGGGAGCCATCTGGCCTTGATGAGGGGAGTGGGTTGGCATGGTGCTGCCTGGTCCTTGGAGCTGGGGAGGAAGCACCTCTGGTGGGAGAGGATAAGATGGTCCTCAAGGGCTTGGAGGAGGGGCCACAGCTCACTGGGGCTTGTGTCTGCTGTGCTTGGCCAGAGCTGAATGCCCACCTGCATGAGAGGGTGAAGGGAGGAGAGGCCAGGAGGAAGATCTGACCTTGGTAGGGGGGGCAGCTGGTGCCTGTCCCCCTCCTCTGGGTCCTTACAGCATGGGAGGCACAGACTTGTACATGGACGTGGACATGCAGGCGGGAGCGGGTGCACGTGGGCACACAGGGATAGGAGGGCACATCGCCTTGCTGACCAAGTCTGGAGGAGACAGACTGGGCAGCCAGGCGGGCAGATAGTGGTATGGTCAAGATCCCTCGTGGCCTCTGCGTGGCTGGTGGGATCCAGACACTGGTTCCTCTGCTACCATATCTGCCCAGACCCCTTCCTCTTTGGATCCTCCTCCCTTTCCCCCAAGAGCTTCCTCTTTCCCATCACACCCTCCCTGGGCCTTGGAGGAGTTGACAGCCACTCATTGTCCTGTTTCCGCCCCAGGAGCTACTCCAGGCCAGCGCGGGCCCCAGCACTGGCGGGTGCCCCTCTGCCTGCCCCACCCGCACAGCACACCCCTCCCCAGAGGGCTCCCCGGGCTGTGTCTGCGCTTGGGGTTCAGAGCCCATCAGTCACCAGAGCACCAAGGGAGACAGGTGTGTGTTTCTGGGAGCATAAGATACCCCAACCTGAGGCCCCTGTACCCCACCCACCCCGACCTCAGGCAGCACTCACTTCCGCAGCCCTGACAGGAAATGGGCTGGAGTCTCAGCCTCCTGCCATCTCAAGGCAACTTCTCGTTTCCCTGTCACTCTGTGCCAGCCCTGGGGTTGTGTCCTTGCGCTCCACCCCCAAAAGCTTCCCAGGGCTCTGTCCCAGAAGGTCAGAGGGGCCAGGATGGTGGACATTATCGCCAAACTGACCAGGAGGCAGAGTCGGGCCCTGCGGGCACAGGTAGGGAACGGTGGCATTAAGGGTGGCAGAGGGACCCTGGTAGGAGCTGGGCGGGCGGGGGTTTAGAGCAAGGAGTCTTAGGTTGGGGCTTGTCCCGCCTTTTCTCTTTCCTTCTCGGAGACCTGGACCTTCTGAGAGGTGGTCAGCTTGGGCAGGAGGGACAGGGCTGCCACCTGCTCGTGGACAGGGAGGCAGGTGGAGACAAGGGGCACACTGCTGGGAGGAAGTGCTGGGGGTCCGGGCAGCCTGGTGTGGTGAGAACTGGAGCCCCTCTTGGCTCGTCCTGTGGCCTGAGGTGAAGAGGCATCTTCTTGTCTCTAAGATACGACCCAAGAGCCTAAGAGCCCGAGGTCCTTGTTTATGGGCCACGTGTGGGTCCTGTCTGGATCTCCATGAGCTGGGGCAGTGGTGGCAGGTCCTGCTGTAACCACTTGAATGCCAGAGGGTGTGGAGGACCCGGCACCACCTGGCCCCCAGGAGCAGGTCAGAGCCCAGCCAAGGCTTTGCCTGGAGAGGAACTTAGCACTGCAGGGGCTCCATGGAGAGTTCTAGAATTGAAGGGGCCTCAAGGAAGCTGCAGCACCCCCAGAGGGAGTGGACTCTGACGCTCAACTCCAGCGAGGGCCCCTCACTCCCCAGCAGCAGCCTGCGTCTGGGGCAGCCCCAGCCCTCCAAATGCTTCCTTCAGAGGGGTGCCGCCCTGCCCCCACAGTGTGATACTGCATCTTCCCTTCCTTGTGACAACACCGTCATGCTGGGGACCTAAACCTCTCCCTCCCAGATTTCCTCTGTGCCGCTGCGAGTGTTGCTGGGTGCCAGGTCCCATCAGCCGCACCAGCGTGGGACCCCCGTGGGCGCTGAGCCACGGCCCGCAGCCTGCTGGGGGAAGTCTCTGCTCTGAGGAGCCTCCTTTGTCGGCCCACCCACCCCCCATGCGCCCTTGCGACTGCTGCCCCAGGGAAAGGCAAGGCCACTGCCTCAGTGGGGCAGCTGGGGTGGGCAGGAGGCGTGTCTGGTTCATCCCCCTCCTCCATTCACTGCTTCCCCCCATCCTCTGAGGAGTCTCCTGGTTTCTGTGGTTCAAACCTTCGCGCTCAGGAAGTTCTTGCCCAAATCTCACCTCGGTCTCTCCTGCAGTGCCGGGTGTGTTCGTGTGTGTGTTGCTGAAATTTGGCATGAGCTTGACTAGTGTGCTCAAGCAGTAAGTGTTTTTGGCGGATCTGCTCTGGGGCACTGGGCCAGCTGCTGGGGGACAGATGGAATCAGCCACAGCATCCTGGGTCCCACTTTCAACAAAATCCTGCCTCGTGGGGCAGAAAGGTGGGCAGACGGGTGGACGACTAACTGGCCCTAACAGAGCACCGAGCAGAGTGCAGGTGCGTGAGGCCCTTCTCTGGAGAGGCTTATGAGCCCAGCGCCTTGGAGGAGCAGGAGTTGGGCAGGCAGGGGGTGAGAGAAGGGAACAGCTGAGGGAACAGCTGCAGCAAGAGCACGGAGGTAGGAAGATGCCTTTTGTGTTGGGGGCCTGATGGCAGGATGCCACGTGAGGGCTGTGCTGGGAGGAGACAAAGGAGAAGTGGGGTGGGGGGGTCCCATCTCAGCCACACAGGAGCAAGGAGGGGTCAGGGGGAGGAGTGAGGAACTGACAGACAGGTGTCCCCAGCTCTCCCTGCCCCACACCCCCTTGCTTTGGCTGTTTTTGCTTTCTTGCTTAGCAGTGATCATCGTTGACATATGCTGTGTGTACCCTTATCACCCCTTGCCACCACCGTTTACACACATGTGCCCTTGGGTGTCTGCCTGCCTGGGCAGGGATCGTGTCCATTTGTTCACCACTGCATTCCCAGTGCCTAGAACAGTGCCTGGCACAGAGCAGGCACATCCTTGTTGGATGAATGAATGTTTTGTTTTGTTTTAGCATCAGTTTGGTGAAAAGCAAATGAATGTGTTTTTAGGCTCCTGCCTAAGGCCCAGGGAGAGGCTACCTTGAGGAGGACATGCTTCCTCTCTTGAGGAGTTTAGAACTTAGTGAACGTGTCACAGTCAATGAGGAACTTCTGTGATTTTCTAGAAGTTTTAAGTTACAAAATGTTGAGGCTGCAGAAAGCTTAAAGAAGAAAACAAAACAAAAACAAATATAACTGCTATCATCACACTGCCCGGAGAGGGACCTTTCTTAGCATTTTGGAAGATTTCGACAAACACAAAATTGAAATTATGCTAACTCTACCATTTTGAAATCTGTTTTTCCCTGGGGTACTATGTATTCTTAGAAAACAGTATTAATCCCTGAATGCTATTCTGCCTGGGGCTTGATAAGGTAGTTAGTTATCTGTCCCTCTGCTGGGCTGAGGGTGGTGGCACATGGGAGGAGTCTCAGGAAAGGTCTTGAACCTGGCACCTGGGCTGAGTCCTAAAGAAGGAAAAGGAGTCGCCAGGTAAGAAAGGGGCGGAGACGGGGCAGGGCAGGCTGTGAAATGGGCCAGGTCTGCGGGAGACACGGCAGAGGGTGGGGACTTCCAACAACTGGATTAGAGTTCAAGGCAAGGGGCAAGGAGTGGCAGGAAATGTGGTGGAAGCCCGGCAGGCAGCAGTGGCCTCCTGTGCCTGGTGAAGGACACAGACTTTGCCCTGCAGCCAGCAGGGAGCCCCGAGGTGTGCACTCTGGGAGCTTCTGTTCTGTGAGCACGGAGACACACCAGGCTCACCTTCTGTGGGACTGAACGCCCCCAGTCGCCCTCACTTTCTTTTGGAGGGGAAAGGGTCATACCTTTCTTTGCCCGTCCATTTCCAGTCCATCTGGCTGTCATCTCTTTCTTCCGCTCTTGTCTGGAATTGATTCTGACACCTGCAATTCCACATTGGAAAATTCTAGCCCCAAATCCAGAGGCCATGTTGAGTCCAATCCCAGAGCTTTCTAGGCTGGGAGGAAAGGAGGGGCGGGAGCTTTGGCCTGGGGCTGTAGAATGCTCAGGGCTCTGAATGGGGACCACCAAAAAGGGTGGGTCCCAGGCCACTCCTTTGTTCCTGCCCAACATCTTACTTGCCTCTGTGAGTCCACAGCTGTGAGATCTGGATTATCGATATTTTATTATTGGTAATATAATTAATGCGATTGTCCCGTCCAATATAGAGCACTAAATACTTTTGAAAAAGCACTTTCAAGAACATTTCCTCATTCTATCTTCACTACAATTTCTGGAATGGGCAGAGCAGACATTTTATACCCAGGGAAACTGAGGCAGAGAGGGATTGTGACTTTCTGAGGGTTGCCCAGGTGGCAAGTGGCCCAGTCTGGACTGTGTGACCCCAGTGGTTCCCTGAAAGTCACATCTCCTTCCTTCTTCCGTAGGTGGACGAACCCCCGGAGCCCGTGTATGCGAATATAGAGAGGCAGCCTCGGGCCACTTCGCCGGACACTGCCGCGGCACCCCACCCCAGCCCGGTGTGGGAGACGCACACGGACGCCAGCACCGGGCGCCCCTACTACTACAACCCAGACACGGGTGTGACGACCTGGGAGTTGCCCTTCGAGGCTGCCGAGGGCTCCGCTAGCCCAGCCACCTCCCCGACCTCGGTGGGCAGCCACGAGAGCCTCGAGACCGAGTGGGGCCAGTACTGGGATGAGGAGAGCCGCAGGGTGTTCTTCTACAACCCCCTGACCGGCGAGACCGCCTGGGAGGACGAGCCCGAGGACGACGAGCTGGAGATGCAGCCCAGCCTGAGCCCTGGCAGCCCCCGGGACCAGAGGGTGAGGGGCGGGGCCACCTCTGGCAGCCCCTGGGCACGGCCCCTGCTCCACCTAGCCCCAACCTGAGGGTTGAGGGGCGGATCCGGGGGCGGGGCTATCTCTGAGATTCCCTCTGGCCCCACCTCCTGTTCCCCAGCCCAGGGGCCAGAGGGTTGGGGAGCAGAATGGGCGTGGCTGTCTGAGTGCTTCTGGCCCCGCCTCCTGCTCCACCTAGCCCCAGGGACCCAATAGCAAGGGGGCGGGCTTGGTCCAAAAGGGCGGGGCCAGGGGCAGCACTGGCACTGAGAGCCTCTGACTCCAACTTCTGGTCCCTGCAGCCCCCCACCCCCGAGACGGACTACCCTGAGTTGCTGACCAGCTACCCGGAGGAAGACTATTCCCCCGTGGGCTCCCTCGGTGAGCCCGGCCCCACCTCTCCCTTGACCACACCCCCCGGCTGGTCTTGTCACGTCAGCCAGGACAAGCAGACGCTTTACACCAACCACTTCACCCAAGAGCAGGTAGGGGCAGTGGGCAGGTGGACCCAGACAGCCGCGGGGTCACTCCCCTCAGCTTTCCTCACTATTAGATCCCCTTAGCACTCTAAACTGCAGATCCCAAGCAGACCTAAGCCAGTCCAAGATTGGGAGTCACCTCCATCTGCCTCTCCGAGCTTCCTGGTGCTGTCTTGGACCCTGGTTGGAGGGAGCCTTTTCTCTCCTCTCATGAGCTGGGTGGGGGGCCTGATCATGCCTCTCCCCACAGTGGGTAAGGCTGGAGGACCAGCACGGCAAACCATACTTCTACAACCCAGACGACTCCTCCGTCCGGTGGGAGCTGCCCCAGGTAACCAACCGGGGAAGGGAGAGTGCTGGGGAGAGAGGAGGGACTATATATGACAGGGTCTTTCTCCCTAGGTCCCTGTCCCTGCCCCTCGAAGCATCCGCAAATCCAATCAGGACAGTGACACTCCATCCCAGGCCAGCCCCCCAGAGGAGAAGGTAACGAGGGTGGCATGAAGGCCCTGGCAGGACCACGACAGAAGAAATGGGGAGTTTCTGGAGACCCTGGGGGCAAGGACTGGGCGGGACACATCTGTCTCCCCCATGGGCCCCAGCACTAGCCCCAGAGGTGGGTGAGGTTGGGAAGGGGAAGGAATCTCTCCTGCCGCTGCTGCCGGGGAGCAGGCACCACCCCCTCCAGCCAGGAGGCTGGGCTGGTAATGAGCAGTGGGTGGAGACAGGCCCAGCCTGTGGGGATTTGCAGCTGAGGGGGAGACTAGCCTCTGCCCCTCATGGCTAAGCCTCTGGGCTACCCCCCTTTCCCCTTCCCATAGATCAAGACCCTGGACAAGGCGGGGGTGCTGCATCGCACCAGGACGGTGGACAAGGGAAAGCGGCTGCGGTGAGAGCCCCTGTGCACCTAGACCAGGGCAGGGTGGGCCTTAAAGATGAAGTTCACTTCCCATTTGCCAGGCTCTTATTAATCATCATAGAGACTTCAAGAGAGGTCCTGTGAGGAAACTGAGGCACTGAGAGATTAAAGTGACTTGCCCAAGGTCACCTGGCTAGCTACCAGGTGTTAGATTTGGGAGTCCACCCCTCACAGTCGGGTACCCTAGGCTGTGTTCCTAAGCTCTGTGCCCTGCTCCCGGGCCTAGGGGGGGCCTCAGCCTAGGACCAAATCTAAGTCCTGCCCACCTGCCGCTGCCCCACCCCCTCTAGGAAGAAGCACTGGAGTGCCTCGTGGACAGTGCTGGAGGGCGGTGTCCTGACCTTCTTCAAGGACTCAAAGACCTCAACTGCAGTTGGCCTGGTGAGGCCCAGGCCCCCAGGGCAGGGACCACCCCAGCAGCTCTCTCTGGCTTAGACAAGACAAGGTCTGCAATGGCGGTCCATGAGTGTCAAAGGAGCTGGGCCTTGGCAGGGAGGGGGTGATGACAGCAGGTTCACCCCAGGACAAGCAGTTTCAGCCACCTTGGGGATGGGGAGCAGTCCTTGAGGGACAGCTCGAGGCTGGAGGGCAGGGAGGCTGGGGGCCGGACACACCTGCTCACAGGGATGGGGCTCTGCTCCTTCCGTCTGTCTCCTGGGCGGGCAGGCAGCAGGGGACAAGCCAGCCAGCAGGATCTCTGGGTTCCAGGAACCCTTGGGTCCCTTTCACCCAGAGTTGTTGCCTGGCCCCGCCAGTGACCCCATCCTGTCCCTACAGCCACAGTGCAGTCGCAGGCCCATCCGAGCCGAGGGCTCCCTGTGACCCTGCCCACCCTTCCTCCCTGTCCCACAGAGGCAGCCTTCCAAGTTCTCCACCCCCGAGTACACGGTGGAGCTGAAGGGGGCCTCTCTCTCCTGGGCCCCCAAAGACAAATCCAGCAAGAAGAATGTGCTGGAGGTGAGTGGTGGAGTGGGGAGAAGGAGGGAAGGGGCGTCCTGATGTCCAGGGACTGTCACTGTAGGCAAGCCCCCAGGAGGAGCACCTGGGAAGAGTTAGGGCTGGAATTCTCAGGGCTCAAGGCCATGGATTTTGCAGTTCCCTCCCCAAGAGCTGAGTCACTTGTCCTTGCCCTGGAGGGTGGTAAGAAGTAGAGGCCTCTGGGAGCTGAGACCCTGTCCTGCTTAGAATGTGGGCCGCGTCCCAACCTGAGGCAGGAAGCTCCCTGGCGCTTACTCTGACAGGCTGGGCAACCTGCTCTTTCTCCCCAGGTCCCCATCCCTGGGTCAGAGCCCAGCTTCCAACTGGACTGGGTCCCCAGTGAACATGCCAGGGCCGTGGACAAGCTGTCAGGCTCCCCCAGCAGGCAAGGGTCCTCCCAGCGCCACACCCTCCACTGTTCACATGCTGTCGTTTTTCTTTTTATTTTCTATATTTTGGAGCTGGAGTCTTGCTTTGTCACCCAGGCTAGAGTGCCATGGCATCATCCTAGCTCACAGCAACCTCAAACTCCTGGGCTCAAGCGATTCTCCTGCTTCAGCCTCCCGAGTAGCTGGGACTATAGGCGCACACCACGACACTTGGCTAATTTTTGTATTTTTAGTAGAGATGGGGCCTTACTTTTGCTCAGGCAGATTTCAAACTCCTGAGCTCAAGGGAATCCTCCCACCTCAGCTTCCCAGAGTCCTAGGATTATAGGCGTGAGCCACCGCACCCGGCCACTGTCTTGTTCTTAAACTACTCATTCCCCACGCCTCAGTCCCTAAATATTTTGAGGCAGGTTATGACAAAAACGTACATGCAGTGAACTGGTAGAACTAGGACCCGGCAAAACAAGTGAGAGACGGGCTCAAGGTGGAGAGGAATTAGGGGCATGTGATACCCAGGTGCTAAGGTGGTGGTGGTTGCAAAACTTTAGCTCCAGTTTTCCTGGTAGTGAAGGTGAAAAGAGAAGGCCTATCAGTTACATGGCTTTTGTTTAAAAAATAATACAACCTACCCCTAGAATCAAGGTTTCTTTTTTTTTTTTTTTCTTTTTTTTGAGACAGTCTGGCTCTGTTGCCCAGGCAGAGGTGCAGGGGTGTGAGCATAGCTCATTACTGTAGCCTTAAACTCCTGGGCTCAAGTGATCCTCCTGCCTCAGCTTCCCAAGTAGTTGGGACTACAGGTATGCACCACCATGCTTGGCCAATTTTTAAAAATTTTTTTTATAGAGATAGTCTCACTTTGTTGGCCCAGCCAGTGTCAAACTCCTGGCCTAAAGCAATCCACCCACCTCAGCCTCTCAAAGTACTGGAATTACAGACGTGAGCCACTGCACCCAGCCTAACCCTTAGCTCATAAAAAAATGTCTAGTGTGTAGCTCCACAAACATGGGATCTAGAGGCATGAGGTCAGTGCCTGCAAAAGAGCTCCCCGGAGGTTTAGTTAGGGGTCTCAGGGCTGCTTGGGTACCATAATGATAACCAAAAGCATAACCTTGTATCTCAGCTTAGAAAAATCCATTCTGCAAGGAGCCTGAGTGTGTAGCTTTCTGATGACTCACCAAGGTTCATTCAGTTCTAGAACCAGGATATCTACAGAGCAGAGTTGGAAAACTGGTTTCGTCTCATGAGCTACTCCGATCATTAGTTCTGGTGCTATCTTGAGAATTCTGGAGCCTTCTCCAGGCTTGGCAGGGTAGGGTTCTGTGATCAAGTAGCAATATCTGCCATGGTGTCACATTTGCTAGCCACGCCCCTTATCTGTCTTCGAGGGACATCCTTCAGACAGTTCTCTTATGAAGGTCATCTCTGAGCTTTTGATAAAAGTTTCCGGCTGGGCGAGGTGGCTCATGCCTGTAATCCTAGCACTCTGGGAGGCTGAGACAGGTGTATTGCTAGAGGTCAGGAGTTTGAAACCAGCCTGAGCAAGAGGGAGACCCCATCTCTACTATAAATAGAAACAAATTAATTGGCCAACTAATATATATAGAATAAATTAGCCGGGCATGGTGGCGCATGCCTGTAGTCCCAGCTACTCGGGAGGCTGAGGCAGGAGGATTGCTTGAGCCCAGGAGATTGAGGCTGCTGTGAACTAGGCTGACGCCACGGCACTCACTCTAGCCTGGGCAACAAAGTGAGACTCTGTCTCAAAAAAAAAAAAAAAAAAAGAAGAAGAAAATTTCAGAGCAGGACTTTCTGAGCTGTGTTTGCTGGCAAGGAGCAGAAGGCAGTTGGTACTCTTGGAAGCTGCTCAGGCCAAGGGGAGGCTGACAGTCCTGAGTGGATGTCAAGGGACCCCCTGCCTCCTGGCTGGCTGGTGGCCACCATCTCTCCACTTGGGATGGCCCGTAGGCAACTCCAGCGTGTTCCTTAAGAGACAGTCCCAAATTCTGTATCATCGAGGACAGATGGGTGAGTTGGACCCAGGAAATGTCCACAGTAGGTCTTCCTAGTCACCCCAAAGCCACAGAAAACATCAGTATCAGTCCCCCGAGAGCCTGGCTGTGCGTTCAACAGGATTGATGTGTTGTGCAGTACGTTGCTGTGTAGCTTTGCCGCCTATTTTTTTTTTCAATCAGAACGAATCTGCAGAACAGCTTTGTCTTCTATATGAAACTTTCAAATACGAGCTGATTATGTTTTTTTTTTTTTTTTTTTTTTTTTTGAGACAGAGTCTCATTTTGTTGCCCAGGCTAGAGTGAGTGCCGTGGCGTCAGCCTGGCTCACAGCAACCTCAATCTCCGGGGCTCAGCGATCCTCCTGCCTCAGCCTCCCGAGTAGCTGGGACTACAGGCATGCGCCACCATGCCCGGCTAATATTTTGTATATATATTTTTAGTTGGTCAATTAATTTATTTCTATTTTTGGTAGAGACGGGGTCTTGCTCAGGCTGGTTTCGAACTCCTGACCTTGAGCAATCCGCCCGCCTCGGCCTCCCAAAGTGCTAGGATTACAGGCGTGAGCCACCACGCCTGGCTAGCTGATTATGTTTTGAGAGAGCTGCCACCGATGATGGAGGTTGTTTTAGAAGTGTCATCAGGCCATTCTCTAGGGTAATCCCCAGCAGGGCCCCTGCCTGCTTAGATTACAGTGGGGCTGTGCTGGCCGCCGCTCAAGCTTCTGTAGCCTTTGCAAGGGAGGTGGAGAGGTGGAACATGCATTTTTCTTTTTCCTTTTTATTTTTTTTATTTTTAAAGCAGTTGAAATAGTACTCATGTATAAGTTTTAAAGGGGGCAGCCAAAAGACAGTCCTTTCTGATTCTAGAAGTTGTTCCTTGTTTGAGACAGTGTCTACTGCCTCTCTCACTGGACCTAAAGGGCAGGGTTGGTGTGAGCTGCCACGGCCCAACATTCACATTAACCCTGAACTTGAGTCCTCAGAGCCAGAGGCTGCGGAGGGATCCATGCAATCAGAAAGGGCTGGGAGCATCAGGCCTGTTGTAGAAAGTTTCTCTCTGGTGTTTTGTTTAATTTCTGCGTCTCAAAGCCAGCAGAAAGGGAATGTTGCCCAGGCTGGAGGGTGAGAGAGGGAGGGGACTCCTGGCTGCTAAAGGAGGGGCAGCACTCTGGGTCCTCAGTGAGCATATGGGAAGGGGCTGGGGATACTCACTTTCTCTGGGATCAGCCATGATCTGCTTTCGAATCCTCTCTCCCCACACATTTCCTTCCCTGTTGGTTCCAGTGGCCAGGGCTGTCCCTCAGGAAGCTTCCTTCCTTTAGTTTTTTGCAGGCCAGCACTCTGGGTAAGGCCTGCCATGTCCTGCAGCTCATGGGGAGGTGGGACAGGGCAGGGGAAGTTTCCCCAACAGCTGAGCCATGCAGATCTGACCTCCATTGCCATTAGCTGTGTGCCCATGAGGAAGCTGGTAAAACTCGCTGAGCCTCAGCTTGGTCATCTGCCACACAGAGAAGCTGTCGCCCACTGCTTTACGTGAGGTGGAAGCCCTTGGCTCAGTTAGGCTCTGAGTTCCTGGGCGTAGGGGATAGGTCACCTCCATCTCTGTACCCACCCCTTAGGGCCAACCCCCAGGGAACCAGAGATGACCCAGTGATTTGTATCCCTCTAGCTACGGAGCCGCGATGGCTCGGAGTACCTGATCCAGCACGACTCAGAGGCCATCATCAGCACCTGGCACAAGGCCATCGCCCAGGGCATCCAGGAGCTGGTAGGCAGGGCCTGGGGTGTCTAGGGACTGTAGGGGAGGGGTGGCCAGCTGTTACGCAGGGCAGCTGTGCTCACTGTGGGGCCTCCGTGGCACCAGTAGGCAAGTGCCACTCCCTGCAATTGCAGTGTCCCCTGCCTGGCTGGGAAGGCAGGATGCTAAAGAAACTGCCTTCTGCAACTGTGAACCCAGCCTGGGGGTGGCCCTGCAGGCATACTTTCCGCGTGTGGTGGGAGCTCGTCCTAGAGGGATTTCCCATGTCAAGGGAGGCAGGAGGAAAAGTAAATATTCTGGGAACCAACTTCAGGCTGGAATGGCGGGCTGAAACTAGAAGGTAAAGTTTAAAAGTATTGATTTCAAGTGTCTCCCATTTCTTAGTTTCAAAATGTCAATTGCATAAGTAGAGATAGCACAGGTCCTCTCTGACAACTGATGACCTGGGGCTTTTCGACCCTTAATTCCCCATAAGCCAAGACTGGGTGCAGCTCTCGGCTGTATTCATAGAGGTAGGAACCCAGAGCGGCGATGCTGGTGCAGTTGTTGGCAGGGCTCCTGCCCCGCTGGAATTAGCAGCTCAGAACTCGGAGCCACATACTGAGTGCGGCTACAGGAGCTGAGGAAAATACCGGAAGAGGGGCGGGGCACTGGGAGGTGGTAGGGGAGGACAGGATGACTGATTCCAACCTGTAGGGCTCCAGGCAGCTCAGGGAGGCCGGTGTGCTGAGGTTCCATAGTAGAGGTGAGGGGAGTTAACCTGGGTAAGGGAAGAGAGCGCTTTGCCTGAGGCCCACGCCTGCTGGAGGGCAGTTCAGGTCTCTTGCCCCATCCCGAAGGGGCCCCAGCTGGCCCATGGCCCTGCCTCTCTGAAGCTGTGTGACTGCAGTCCGCAGACTTGCCCCCGGAGGAGGAAAGCGAGAGCGGCAGTGTGGACTTTGGGTCCAGTGAGCGCCTGGGAAGCTGGCAGGAGAAAGAGGATGACACGCGGCTGAGCACAGGTGTGTGCAGGGCCCGGGGTGAGGAGCCTCCCAGAGACCTCTTTTAGTGGATGGTGATGCCCCGCCAACAACCCAGATGCCACCAACTAACTCACAAGGTCCTACTTTCCCCTACAGCAGGTGCGCCCGCCCCGGGCCCCGGGGGTCTGGAGAGCGACCGGAAGAAGGTCCGGCACAAGCTCCGCAAGTTTCTGCAGAGGCGGCCCACGCTGCAGTCGCTGCGGGACAAGGGCTACATCAAAGGTACCAGGCTCGCAGAGGGCACGCGCGGGGGGCGCAGGGCCGGGCGGCGGCCGCTGGGTGGCGCTGACGAGCCTCTCCCCCAGACCAGGTGTTCGGCTGCGCGCTGGCCGCGCTGTGCGAGCGGGAGCGGAGCCCGGTGCCGCGCTTCGTGCAGCAGTGCATCCGCACCGTGGAGGCGCGCGGTATGTGCGGCGGGCTGGGCCGGGCCTCCCGGCAGGACTGCAGGATGGAGACCCCGGGGTGGGCGCAGGGTTGCGTGGGGAAAGAGCAGGAGGCCGTGAGTAGGAGTCACAGCAGGGGCTTCAGCCCCGCCCCACCCAACCCGGGTCCACACCTTCCTCTGCCCCAGGGCTGGACATCGACGGGCTGTACCGCATCAGTGGAAACCTGGCCACTATCCAGAAGCTGCGCTATAAGGTGGACCACGGTGAGGCCGGTCCCCATCCCTGCCCCAGGGCCTGAAGGCGCGAAGGGGCCCTGACCTCTCTTCCTCTGCCGCAGATGAGCGCCTCGACCTGGACGACGGACGCTGGGAGGACGTGCACGTTATCACCGGCGCGCTGAAGCTCTTCTTCCGGGAGCTGCCCGAGCCCCTCTTCCCCTTCTCACACTTCCGCCAGTTCATCGCGGCCATCAGTGAGCACCTGCGGGAGGTGGGGTGGATGGGGCAGGGGTGGACCTGTCCTGCCTCGGGCCACCCCCTTGGCCGGGCTGTGTCACCACGCTTGCTGACCCCGCTCCCCTCGTAGAGCCCACCCTCTTCCTCCTCCCTGCCTGACTCCCTCTCTGCCCCTTCCCGTGCGCAGAGCTGCAGGACCAGGCCCAGCGCAGCCGCTGTGTGGGTGACCTGGTGCGCTCGCTGCCCGCCCCCAACCACGACACGCTGCGGCTGCTCTTCCAGCACCTGTGCCGGTGAGCGGGCCGGGCGGGTGGAATGGGGTGGCGGGTCCTGGCGGGACCCTCCACGTCTCCCCGCAGCTCTGGGCCCTGACTCCAGCCGCCCCCCCGCAGGGTGATCGAGCACGGCGAGCAGAACCGCATGTCGGTGCAGAGCGTGGCCATCGTGTTCGGGCCCACGCTGCTGCGGCCGGAGACTGAAGAGACCAGCATGCCCATGACCATGGTGTTCCAGAACCAGGTGGTGGAGCTCATCCTGCAGCAGTGCTCAGATATCTTCCCTCCGCACTGACCGCAGACCTGGGGCTGGGGGCGGCTGGAGGCCACTCAGCTGGACGTCGCGAGACCCTCCTCCTCCCACCCGTCTGCAGGCGGTTGTGACTTCCGCACCCCTCGGTTCCGAGGCTATGGTGACCCCTGGTGGGCAGTTCGCAAAATGTGATTTTTCTGGGGCATGTCCTGTTTGGGATTAATCGGGTTCTGCTTTCTATCGCAGCGCCGCCTGCTGAGCGCGTGCGACAGTGTGTGGGGGTGAGTTTTCTGGGAGAGACCATCCTGGGAGGAGGAATTTGGTCAAGGGCTTCCTGGCTCCTTCAGACCTTCACCAAGACTGCGTGTGCCCCAGCCCTGTGCGGACCATGAAGCAGCTAAGACAATTTTCCCGCTGCCCAAACAGGGCTGACCCAGCCTCCAGCGTGGGCAGCTGGACCTGCCTGCCTCAGGGATGATGCTGGCTGTGGACCAGTTTCGCCTGCTTTCCTGTTCCAGCTCCATGCCTCTGTCCTCCCTGACCCACTCATGTTCTGAGCAAGGGGTCTCCATGTTGGCTAAACATGCACCCTGAACCTGCCACTTGACATGCACCATTTCCACACACCATCCCATTTTACAGATGAGGAAACTGAGGCTTGCAGAGGCAAAGTGACTTATTCAGAGTCCAGTGGATGACGACTTCCCAGAAAAGGCTCCTCTCACACTAGAGCACAGCCAGGGGTGGCAGGGAGATCAGTCCTTTCAGCTGCCCATCCCCCAACCCCAGCATGGGTCTGTGAGCAGAGCAAGGGGACTGAGCTGGGTGCATTCTGTCTGGGCCTGGGGAGGTCTCTGAAGGCAAAGAGGGAACCTCCCCCAGCTATTCTCTGCTGGGAGACGGGGCAAAGCACTGGCAGGAGCCCCCGCCCCTCTTAGCCCTCTAGCTGTCAAGTATCCCGGCCTGGTGCCCACCTAACATGAAGAGCTGGGAGAGACTTCGGGGTGGGGGGAAGGAGGACGCCACCCCAGGATGGGAAGTGTGATCCCTGGGGCTCGTGGCCCCTTCCCTCCTTAGACGTGAGCCACCTCAGTTTACAGATCTCAACCACAGCCCCACCTACCTGTTCATTTATTCAAAAAATGACAGCTACTATTTATTGGACATTTGTACCAAGCCAAGCATTTTACTTGGCCTATCTCACTGTTTCTCACAGCCAATATTTATTGTCTGCTCTTCTGTGCCAGGCACTGTGCCCTGGGGCGGGGACCGCACATGCTGCCTGCCCTGGTGGAGCTTACGGTCCGGCGGGTGGGGCTGAGCCACGCCCACCCCAGTGCCAGCGGGGCCAGGGCAACAGCACACACGGAGGCCTCACACCACATGGCTAGACATTTGGAAGTTATAAATCAAGCTAACAACTGTTAAATAAAATATGTTCTATTCTCCTACTCTGACAGATATGCTTTGATTGTGACGTGCAAGGCCAGGTTCTAATTTAACCTTCTGTAACTTCTGAGTTCCCTGCTGCTCCAACGTGGGCAAGAGACGAGCTGGCCTGGCCCTCAGCTGCTCTCGTCTTCCCACCCTCACAGCCATCTCGGCCCAAGGACAGGCTCACATGCACACGTGTGGGCACTCTATCCCTGTGTGCAAGCTGCCCGTGCCTCCTGCAACCCGCTGCCACTTGGCCGCCACACTGGTGACACTGTCCACCCTTGAGGGACATTCTGGAGTCCCCCACATCAGGAGTGTGGTCTAAAGGGGAGGGCTCCCCAGAGTCCGTGTGCTGTGAGGGAAGCCGCAGACAGAAGGTCTGCGCTGGAGTCTTGCCAAGCAAGGGGACCCATGGCAGGGACCCCCCCTCCCCGCCCCCGGTCTAAGGGTGGAACTGGACAGACCTGGAGCAACTGATGACTTGGCCAACCACTGTACAAGAGCTGGGAGAAGCACAGGGTGCTCTGAAGGTGTGTCAAGGGGGTGACTGTTGTCCAGGGCTCCAAGATGGCTCTGCAAAAGCCACATGTGAGTAAAGTGGTAAAGAATGAAGGAGTCAACCAGGGAAGGGTGTCTAGTCAGAGGGCACAGCATGTGCAAAGGCTCTGGGGCAGGAAGGCTTGTGGGGAGAACAAGGTCTGAGATAAGACCAGCTGAGGCCAGAGAGCTGGCAGGGGACAGAGCTTTGGGTCTCCAGGACAATAAGCTGGAGGATCCTTGGACAGAGAGATCTTGGGAAATGTCTGCTCCCCATCCCAGGCTTCTGGCCCTGCCAAGGCTTCATGGGCAAATAATGTAGCAGCAGGCAGAGAAGTCCTATCCTAGAATCGTCCCATTTTGTCACAAGGAGGAACTTCAGAAATCACCCATTGCCAATGAGAAAACTCCCAGAGAGACATCATAATTCACCTGAGGTTGCTGGCAGGGCCTGGCCCAGATCTTTGTTTGCACAGTCTGAGGACCTACTGTGTGCCCCACCAAAGTCTGAGGTGCAGCAGACGTCCTCAACACTGAGCACAGCGCGTGGTGGGCACTGTAGGTGTTCTGAATGAGTTGTACTTTGTCCAGACACAAAGACATATAGAAACAGTATCAGCCCCCTTGAGGCTCTAACTGGTTGGGGAAGGGACATAAAAAAGGAGTGACAGTGGCACAGCTGATAAGCTGGCACAGGGGCCTGTCCCCCAGCCTACAGCCTCCTAGTAGGAGCCCCTAGGTCCTCCTGCAGCCTGGAGTCTGTCCCTGCAGCCACTCTTGAAAAGGCCATGGTGCCCACTGATTGCTAAGTCCGGTGGACGCACGTACTGCTTGCTGTCCTCCTGGAGACACACTGCTCCTCTGCCCCAAGCAATCACGGCTCTCGCAGCCCAGGGCGCATCCTGGAGAGAGGCTCGGAGGAGAGCCGTGGCCTCCAACCCCTGCAGCTGGGGCAGTTCACGCTCGGTCCTGGAGGAGGGATTCCGGGTGGTGCCCATGGCATCCACTCTGACTTCCAACAGGCCCCTTCCCCTAACCATGGGATCGTGTTCAAGTCTCTCTCTGAAAAGTCCTCCCTCAACCCCACATCCCTGCAACTGCCGGCTTTCCTCCTTCTCCTTCTCCTCCTCCTCCTCCCCACCAAACTTCTCGAAAGAGTCTTCCACACTCGCTGTCCCCATGCTGCTCCTGTTCACTCCCCAACCCCCATGCACCAACAGACCACTGAGATTCTACGTCACATCTGTTGGGTACTTTCGGGTCTTCACAGTCATCGTCCTCTTGGGGACACCCTGTCCTCTGCTGGCTGCTCCTGCCTTGGAAACACGCCCTTCCTCTGGGCTTGCACGATGCCACAGCCTCGTCTTCCTCCTACCTCTGGCCAAGCCGCCCATTCTCTGCTGCGTGGCCAGTAGGGGCAGAGCCCGTGGGGACAGCCCTCCTCTCCCGGCCTCCCTTCCTGGATGTCGCCGTCCACTCCCACCACATAGTGACTAATGAGCAGGCATGACTGCCCCCAAAACTCTCAACCCCAGCGTCCCCTTGACAACCTGGTGACGTCTGCTCTGGGACAGTCCTCAGTCCGAGACTGGATTCATGCTCCTCCCCACGCCTGTCCTCCTCCAGGGTTTCACCTGTCCCCGGAACAGGCTCCGCCATCCCCCGAGCTGGGCAGCCAGGAACCTGGGAATGTGGCCTGCTCCCTCCATCTCCACCTCTCTGTCTGCCACCCTACCTGACCTTCGTCCCAGTCCCGTAGTTCTCCTCTAGCCGCACTCCTCCTCTCCAGCCAGGGCCCCTCCCTGGCCTCAGGGACTAATATCTCCCACCTGGACACAGCAGCCGCTCCCAGCCCGGCCCCTCCCACATCCTGGTGACCCCCACTCCACCCAGCCTCATTTAAACACACACACCTGATTATATCACCACTGCTTAGAAGCCATCCCACCTGCCCAAGGAAAAGACGGCAAGCTTTAGCATGGCCTGCCCACCCCCTGCCCCCTCTTGTGAAGCAGTGTGGCTTAGTGGCTGGGCTCGTGGGCTCTAGAGTCGGGCCACCTGGATTCAATCTGAGCTCCGCCATGCTAGAGGGTTCTGGGTAATTGACTCATCCTTTGTGTCTCGGTTTCTTCATCTGGAGAATAGGGATGCACCAGCAGCACCAGCCTCAAGGGGGCTGGGAGATGACAAGAGGATACTTGCAAGGTTGTGAGAACAGAGTCTGTTCAGAGTGAACATTCAGTGAACACTTGCTGGGCCTCATGCCTTACCTGCTTTCTTAGTTTCTCAAATGTTTCGTGCTCCCCCACCCCACCCCAGGACCTTTGCATGTGCCGTGCCCACTTTGCAGTTCTCCTTCCCTTTGCTTGGTCATCTTTTAGCATTGTGTCCAGGTGACCATTCCTTAGGCTCCTCTTCTGAGTGCCCAGCTAGGTCAGTTTTCTCTGTTACACACCATCAGAGACCCAAACACTGCTGTTATTTCAGTTTGTCGTTTTACATTTAAACATCATGATTAATGCTGTGTGTCCCTCCTCCCACAATCCTATAAGCCCAGGAGGGCAGGGACTCTGTTGTTGCTCACCAGCCTATGCCCAGCACCCAGCACAGTGCCTGGCACATAACCAGTGTTCAAGCCAATACATGAAAAGGAAGACAGCCCGAGTGAGAACCCCAGCTCTGCTGTTTCCTATTGCACGATCTTGGGCAAGCTGCTCACCTCAACGTGCTCACCCGTAAAGTTAGGACATTCACCCCTACCGCAGAAACTTCTTACAATTATAAAATGAGACGTGCAACAAGCTCCGCCCAGCACCTGGTGCAGGAACACTTGCGCAGTCTCGCTGGTCTTCATTCCTCAGAGCCAAGGACAGTCCTGGGTCCCGGGATGAGACAGGCTCTGTGGCGGGGCCAGAAGGAGCCAGATGCAGAAGGGTCACGGAGGTCCCCCTGGACAGGCCAGCACATTGGTCCTGTGATCCTTTTGTCTCCAGAGCTCTAGAGCAGTCCTTTTGCAAGACTTCAGCCCAGCAGTGCCATAGGGAAGGGTCCTTTGTCTGTTTAGGACTAGAGAAGCAGAGATGGAAGACTGCCCCCTCAGGCCAGGACAGGAGGGGACCCACTGTGATTAACTTGAGAGGTCCTGCCAGGTAGGACTGGGGCCCAGTGAGGTCCAGCCTCCCGTGGCCTCCGAGAGTGGACATTCTGCATTGCTGGCCAGCCCCGGGCAGGCGTGGTGGGTTGAGGGAGGTGGCAGATTTCCTTTCAGGGAGAAGCGGCAGGCCAGGAAAGCTGCGTATGTCTGGCTGGGAGAATGGACGTCATTCTTTACAGCCCTGCAGGCACCACTCAGTGACGACCAGTGGACAATATGGCCGGGAATGCTTTGTTCTTTTTATAAACTTTTTATTTTGAAATAATTATTTACTCACAAGAAGTTATGTAAATAGTACAGTGACATCCCGTGTACCCAACACCTAGCTTTCCCCAGTGGTGGCATCTTACATAACCATAGCACATTATCACAATCAGGAAAGTGACTGGCACTGCAGCTGACCAGACTACAGACCTTGCTTGATGTCCCCACTCTCTGCGTGCACTCATTTTTGCTTGTCTTTGTGTACAATTCTATGACATTGTTCACGTGTGGATTCATATAACCACCACCAGCAAGACGCAGAATGTTCCATTCCGCATAAGAAATTCCTGATGTTTCCCCTTTACGGTCACACCTTCCCTCTCCTTCCGTCATCCCTGGCAACCCTGTCCTTCTCCATTTCAAGAAATGTTTCATTGTGAGAATGTTAATAGGTGCAATCATGCGGTATATTTGAGATTGGCTTTTTGCACTCAGCGTAATTCTCTAAGATCCACTCCAGTTGCTGTGGGTATCAATAGTTCATTACTTAGCAGAATAAGGCAGTGTATGATTGAAATAAAGAAAAGAAAAAAGATCTTAAAGAAAATAATTATTAAAATAAAAAAAAATAGTTCATTACTTGTATTGCTCTGTAGTATTCCACAGATACGCTCTTAAAGAGACTCTCCCAGTGGCGGCTGAAGGATGGAGGAAGGGGACCAATCAGGAAGCTGCCGATGTTCGGGTCATCACCCAACCCGCCCCGCTGGGCACCGCCTAGATGAGTTCAGGCCACGCGGGTGGCGTCTGCGGCTGAGCAGGGTCTGGGAGTCTGGAGGCAGAGCTGCCAGCAGGGGGCGCCAGAGGCCTTTTGCCCAAGGGGTGATTCCGCTGCGGGACCGTGGGTTAGAGGGCGTTTGGGGCCACTGTGCACACCGGCCAAGAGAACCCTGAAGTCTTGTCCCTCTCTGCACCCCCGCGCTCAGGTTTCAGTCCAGCCCTGAGCGTCTGAGGCTGCGGGATTAGGCTGATGTGTACTCAAGGAGGAGGCAGCAAGGGGAGGCCTGGACCAGGAAGAGGTGGGCTGGGGTCAGGCACAGGGAGGTCCTCAGCGGGCCTGGGACTGCGGGCCCGGGACTGCCCCTCAGAAGGTGGCTCTGAGCTCAGGCCACAGGGCTGGGCCTGGGCACCTCTGCCCGCCTTTCCCATCCCTAACGACTGCCGCACTTCCCTGCCCACTTCTCTCCCCAGACCCTGGCCCGTGCTCTACACCCTCCCACCCGCGTCCCTGCAAGACGCCTTCCCCGACGCCCTCCCCCCCACCGCCCCCTTCCCCAGAACGGAACG